AAAATTAAAGAAATACAGGGGTAACTCAGTTCAAGAGTTTAATCCGTTCCTGGAGACAGCTCGTAACCCGAAAACTTGTAAACCGAAGCTAATTTCCCCATAAGAAATAATGGGAAATGAATTAATCCATTCCTAACTACCCAAAAACCTCACTTCAAACTAAATTTTATACCTAATTCATCAAATCTAAAGTATGTTCACATTACAGTATTACTTACCCTTTCTGATGACTGCTGTTGGCGTATGGAAGATGGTGAAGAGGAGAGGTGTTACTGTTTGGAAGGGGAGTCACCTTCCATTATAACATCAGGCAGTGAGGACTTCTCTGGTGTGCACCCTCTGCCATGTTTTACCTGCATACCACTAGGTCCTGGTTGTGGCTCACTGCTTGCTTGTCTTACTAAGAATCTGTCTAATGACACTTGTTTTTCCCCTACATTTTACCACTTGTCTGTAGTGAGACATCACATTGTCATTTAAAAGGACAATGCAACGGCCTGCTACCGCTTTATCTGTTAGTTTTTTCAACAAAACTTTGCAGTTTTTCCCATATTTCACACATTTTCTTAATGAGGAAGGGACATCCTCTATTGCTTTTACTCACAACTATTTTCTTACGTTGAACCTTACCACTGGCTTTCTTGGGACCCATGGCGAGATATATAATAACAACTTTTATGCTTAAATAGCCCAAAATAAAAAAAAAACTAAATCCTTGCGAAGAATTCAGGCAGGATAGTCCCTGGGCACGAGGCACTGATAAACTGAGGTGCGATCACCGTGCCACCACGCGCTAGGTCGGCCCGTACGCATATCAACACCCTCGTATCCTGATGTAAATTTTCCGAGCAAATCCTGCTCGTAACCTGAAAAACTCATAACCAGGAACGCTCATAATCTGATGTACTACTGTAAATGAAATAAATGCTGTGATGGGTTGTGGTATCGCAGCTATACTGAACCTTCTACGGGCTCACATAGCCCATGCTACTGGGAACTTTTTGTTCCAAGTAGCGAATCTTAAACAACAAACAACATATACTGAACCAAGATGGTATGGCTCTCCATTACACAAACAAAAAATGCTGCTATTGGCCCTTGCAGAGTTTAAGTTGCAGGTGGAAACAAATGAAAATCATCAAATAAATAATTAAAACAATTAACTGAAATATTAATGAACAAGAATGGCACCTGGGAACACATGGCGATCATACCCTTCAAAGGTGAACAAAATAATATGAAAATTAATAAAAGAATAGACTATGCAAGAAATACAATGAAAAGAATAAATGAGTAAATACTGGTGGGGCTGAAGATAACTACTATACTATACCACCACAACATCCAGCACATGACACTGGCTGAGGGCAGATGGCATTGCAGGAGGCTAAGGTGATCTAAGAGCACTAAGAGTGAGACTGGCTCTCTAGGGAGGCGGTGCCCTTTATATAGTCTGGCGGTGATAACTCATCCGGCGCCAACGCAAGGTGGTAACAAGTGTTACTAGCAAACTGCTAGTTTGTGGCTGGTGGCGCCTTTGTGTTGAGGCGCCCCACTGCTAGTTGAAGGTGGCTAACTGTTTGTGAAGGCAAACTACCGGTTAGCGGAGGCGTCCTGCTTGTTGCCAAGTCGCAAAGCGGAGGCAGAGGGGTGCGGACGCCCGCCCGTGAGAGGCGGAGTTAGTGGAGGCGCCCTGCTTGTCGCCCAGCCGTGCCAGGCCCTGGGAGGTACGGAGAGGTGGCAGGACTGATAACTCATCTGGGCTGGTGTAGAGGTGGACTTCCAGAGCAGAGGCATTGAGGGTGAGTAGGAAAGGCAGTTCCACTGCTATGCAGGGGATTCACGTGGTAATGCAATTACTGTATGCACTTACGAGAGTTAATGGCATATGTTGAAGGTGGTGAGGCAGATGAAGAGAGATGTTTCTCTTTCCCTTAACAAAATAACTTCAGGTAATTGTGCATCTTTTGTGGGGTAACTGTGGGGTTCTTTCTCTTTCCTGTCTCTCTTTTTTCTGTTTCCCTCTCAAGACACTTTACACTTTTTCCCCATTTTGTACTCATTTCTTTTATTAGCGAACTAGATTTAGGCATACCAAACTTGGTAGCAAGAGCAGACATGCGGACACAACTTAAAAAAGTATTTTGCCACAAATTCTTTTCTCAGCTCGACCGTGGTTCTAACTAATTTTCTTTTTGCTTGGCTATCGCTAACTTTCACTAACTTACTGAGGTGTAATGGTGACATATTTACACTAAGAATATATAAAATATCCAAGAAAACACGAGAAAGTTTAGAGGAAGTCTAGTGGTGTTGTGCACTGAATGACAGCCACTTGGAAACTGACTCGTCTGGGATGCGTGTTTACGTTTGAATGCTGAATAAACGGTTGACTGCTGTACATGAATACAGCATTCGAGTGCCGAATTGTTCGAGTTAGGGTGACATCGGATATGTGGTTCAGTGTTTATCACATAAGATTTTAACTGAAAATAGCGTAATACTGTAGCCTCAGTATTTCGTTTATTTATTTGTCATCATCTGTAAAAGTTCTATCACTCTTACAAAAGAGTGCAAGAGAGAACATCTAGGTCAGAAAGAGCCTCTTTGGGCAGGGACCAAAAGACACAAAAATGGAATAATATAGGAAGAGGCCAAACCCTCAAACATACTAGCGATGCAAAGAAACACGAAACAACTACATGGTAGTGAGGAGAGAGGCAGACAGAAATTATGAGAAAGGGATGTAATGTAAAACAAATGTAAAAACAGTACATATCTTTTTCAAATATACAGTAGTATAAAACAGAACCAGGCCTATTCTATGAATTCATCAAAAGCAAATTGCAGGTAAAGGATAATATTCAGAGGTTGAAAATGAGAAACAGTTTCACAGAAAATTAAAAGGAAATGTGTGAAACATTAAAGTAACAGTTCCAAAGTGTGTTTGTGCAAAATTAAATCTTCAGAGAACAAGACACAATAAGAATTCCAGAGAACAACATAGGTGTCTAGAGATGGAAGTGGAACAAATTCTCAAGGAGTTAAGTAAGAACGAAGCAGTTGGCCCAGATGGAGTTTCACCATGGGTTCTATGGCGAGCAGGTGGTTTTTCTGGTGGTGTACCACCTGCGTTCCTCTTCTCGGTGACAGTAAGAGGTTTCATGGCGCTTCTTTTGCCACTTCCTTTACTCTTCATTGTTGTTCGTCAATTTCCGAGCATGTAGTTCTCTCTCTCTTTGTCTTTTTCTCAATCAGTATCTCATGGTGATACTATCACTTCGTATTGTGGCACTGGCAGTTCAGTGTCGATGCCACCTTGGTGCCGTTTTGCAGGCTGTCTCACGAGTTATTTCACCTCCAGCCTGCTTGGTCTTTGGACTGTGTTCTCTCTGTTCTTTCCTCTTCTTGTTTTGTTCAGGCTTCCCCTTCGGGAGGTGATTCGTTCTCTAAGGTTTTATTTTTGTTTTCTCTTGCCTCTATTCGATGGGTTGGGAAGCTTCATGCTCTCCTGTGAAAGCACGGTTTCTGTTCTTTTGGCCCTGGTGGGCATTTTGTTCATTTGCAGCCGGCTCCTTTTCTGGCAAACAATGAGTCAGTTGACTTCCGGAGGTTTCCTCTAGTTATTGACACTTGGTTGGTTCAATCTGGGGTGTATCATGTGCTGGGTCCGGTGGCAGCTCTTCACCAATACCTTCGTACTACCAATTTTACTTCGGTGAATACTTTGTCGGTTGGCTTTGGTTCGCAGGTTGCAGCCAGTTGAGGAGCTTGTGGCGGCCGCCTCCCGGGAAGCCCCTCTCTTCCTTATCTTTAGTTATGTGGCTCCAGGGTGCCTGAGGGGTGATCCCAGGTGATTGAGGGGGGGGGGTTTGAATCCTGATTGGGTCACATAGTTCTTAAGTAATTTATATTTTTACACATTTTTTCTTGTGGAATGATAGTTTTCCATTACTGTACTTTATATATGATTTCCAGGGCTCCCCTCAGAAAACCAGTGTTGAATGTAATGAAATGCCATTTTCTGGTTGAGCCTCAGAGGCTCTCTGGCACCCTCCCTCCCTCTTGGTCAGCAGTTTTCCTGTTTTGATATTTAGCCTCCGAATTGGAATGGCTAGGTCGCTAGCGCTTGGGTCCGGGGCTCTTCCCCTCACAGTGTGAGGGCGGGATTGTGTGGACGAGCAGTACGGTGGTGGGGTGTGACGTTTGTTTGTTTCCTTGAGATTGGAGGGAGTTCTGCCACTCTGTTCGGTTTTCGATTGCAATTTTCTTACTAGGTGGGGTCTGTTTTGTTAGGTCTACCTTTCTGGGTGCCTAACTCCAGTCGATGGCAGATATGGAAAACCCGCAACCATGGGTGTTTTCCAGGGCCATTGCTTCCTGTTCCTCTCTGAGGGGGCCAGGTTCTGGCTCATGGTCCCCAGTAGGCTGAATGCCTATGACTAATGCCCTGGTCTAATGACTTGCATATTTGCCCAATAGCTCCAGGAACCCTCTAGGGCTCACCTAGAAAATGGTGTTTCATTACATTCAACACTGGTTTTTTAACCCAGTAGTAGTTTGTTTTGTCTTGCCGACTTTCCGGATGCCTTCCCTGGTGAGCTGGTAAATTGTCACTGCTCCCTGCACCCGGATTAGGGGGCCAAGCTTTGGCACTGGTCCTCGGTAAGCCTAAGAACTCCACTGCAGCTGCAACCTGGTAGAGATGGAAATCATCTCAGTGTATAGCTTCAGAGATCTACAAGGGCTCACTCAGAAATTGGCATTTCATTTCATTCAACATTGGTTTTTATGGCACAGATAGTAAGAGCAGGTGTATTTTTCACTTGAACTATAATAAGTAAATTTTCAGCTTTGTTATTTAGCCGCATTTTGGCTCAATAAAAATGGTTAGCAAAAAAGTGTTGCAGACTTGGTTAGTGAATCATTGTGTCACATTGTACACAGTAGCCTATGCACAGTCCATCCATCACCTTTGAGTTTGATTTTTTTTTCCTTAGGGGACAAATCCAGTAGCAAACTACCATACAAGCCTCTATCAAATAAGAAGTTTTACTTGGACGTGAAAGGTTACAGAAGTATTGCCGCCATCACAGCAGATATACACAACCTTGGAGGGGTGAGTGGTACTACCTTATACTTTTACATCAGCCATTATTTATTATTGGTTCTAACTTGGTTATGTTAGCAATTGAACTCACTGGCCAAGATTTGACCAGCATGTACATTTGCAGGTATTTCTAAGTAAATATGTGATCTCGTATATAATGCTAAACAATGTCACAATAATGTGACTGAAAATTAGACACTCGACCCACAAATCTGAAAATTAAGGATATGCCGACATTTTGGTCTATCCCAGACCATTAACAAGTTGTGTAATGAAATATGTGAAGGTTATAACTGAGGTAGTGTGGATCTCCATGCCCGCAATGCCTACTTGTGGGCCACTGCATGCCCATATCTGGTGTCAGTTTCCAAGGTAAACGACTTGATGCATGGTCCAGGTAAGACAGAAACATTGTCATTTCCATTATTTTCAGATTTGTGGGCTGGGTGTACCTGCTGAATGGTCCAGAGATCAGTGTCACCACTGCCAGGTCACTGACCAGGCCACTGGGTGATGATCTGGTCAACCAGGTTGTTGAATACAGCTGTTCACAGCCTGACATATGACTCACAACCTAGTTAATTAGGTGTCTATTGGAAGTGTTTTATCAAAATCTCTTGAACACTGTAAGTGGTCAGTTAGTTATGCCACTTACATGCATAGGGAGAGTGTTGAAAAGCCTTGAGCCCTTGATATTGATAAACTTCTCGGGTACCTATTGCACCATTGCTTTTCAGCTTGACTATTTTGAACTTCCAGCCATTCTTCCTAGTCTCATCAGGATTTATTGCTCTATGCAGATTTGGAACTAGTCCCTCTATTGCAGACGAGGAGTCACAATAACGTGGCTGAAATATATTGACGAAACCACACTAGAAAGTGAAGGGATGATGACGTTTCGGTCCGTCCTGGACCATTAAGTCGATTGTGATGCACAATCGACTTGAGAATGGTCCAGGACGGATTGAAACGTCGTCGTCCCTTCACTTTCTAGTGTGTAGTCTCTATTATTTTCTGTGTGAAAATTATGTGAACTGTCAGTTCACCCAGGTGGTTTCTGACACCATCTCAAATTTTGATGCAATTTGGTACATGTATAGATCTCGGCGAGAGAAATTGAATGACTTTTGTCTCACATTGTAGCTAAAACAACAGTCTCCGTGGTGTAGTGGTAAGACACTCGCCTGGCGTTCCGCGAGCGCTATGTCATGGGTTCGTATCCTGGCCGGGGAGGATTTACTGGGCGCAATTCCTTAACTGTAGCCTCTGTTTAACGCAACAGTAAAATGTGTACTTGGATGAAAAAACGATTCTTCGCGGCAGGGGATCGTATTCCAGGGACCTGCCCGAAACGCTACGCGTACTAGTGGCTGTACAAGAATGTAACAACTCTTGTATATATCTAAAAAAAAAAAAAATAAATAAAAAAAAAAAAATAAAAAAAAAAAAGTTTCAGATGTGCAGCTGGATTTTGAGAAAAGGATAAATTTTCCAAGATGCCTTATTTCAAGAGGGCATATCTCGACTTCTATGGCACATACCAAAGCTGGAATATGAAGCAATTAGTTGTATGGTGTCCATATCTTAAGAAGCACATCATCTAACTGGAAAAGGTGCCAAGAAATGCAACTAAATGGCTCCCAGAACTAAAAGACAGGAGCTATAAGGAGAGGTTAGAGACATTAAAGATGCCAAAACCAGGAGATAGAAGAAAAAGAGGCGATATGATCACTACATGCAAAAGAGTAACGGGAATTGACAAAATTGATAGAGTTGAATTCCTGAGACTTGGAACTTCAAGAACCAAGAGGTCATAGATTTAAACTAATTAAACAAAGCTGCCGAATAAATATAAGAAGACTCACTTTTGCAAGCAGAGTGGTAGATGGTTGGAACAAGTTCAGTGAGAAGGTGGTCGAGGCCAAATCCATCTGTAGTTTCAAAGTGTTATATGACAGAATGCTGGGTAGACGGGACACCACGAGTGTAGCTCTCATTCTGTAACTACACTTAGGTAATTACATACATAGTACATTCAAATACCATTTTAAAGCTATTGAGTGGCTCTCCAACTTTTATTCTAAGTATATTTTAAATCAGGATTCAAATAAAAATGTTGACCTAAGATTTAACCTTTGATCTTAGAAGGGTCATTTGACGTCAACCCGGATTTTTTAAAACTCGAACCATTTATTGGTATAAATATGTGTATTTGTATTTAGTATATAATACAACTGGAGGCTTGTTTATGAACAGTATAATAGTGTTATTGAGAATACTGCTTAGAGGAGTTAGGCTAGGCCTGCTAACACCCCCCCCCTCCCCCCCCCCAGAATTAATCCCACAAGTCAACATAAACTGTTAATTACTGAAAACCCTCAAGTAACATCACAATGCTCTTACCACATCCTTGCTTTATGTTAAACCTCAAAATCCACTGTTATATGCTATATGCTACGCATCTGTACAAGGCTCGTGCTCCCTTCACAGTTGAGCATAATCACATTAGCCTATCAAACGTCAATAATATTCCAGGTATCATAAAGTAAAACAAAAGTGGGTAAAATGTGAACACCAGTTTACTCTGTGGTAGTAACACAAATAATATATCACAAAAAATAATGATAGAGTACACACTTAATCACTTATGAATTATGAATTAATTATGGGTTGATGACCACTTACACAATGTAAAAAGAAAAAATGGCTTAACACTTAATAACATGTAATACCAAACACAAAGCAACACTCGGACACAATAACAAATCACACTCTACTTAACTCAGAGACAAGTCCAGTAACCCAAGACCCCAACCTGCAACTGATGCTCTGCTCGCCCTGAATGACAACCTGGAGTGGCCGAGCTCACTATCGCCAAGCACGACTGACAAAACATCTCAACAGCCACACTTCCATGCTGAGATAATAACTCCCAAACACTTCTAAACACAAGTATGTAATATCTTAGACACACTGGAACAATGTCTCAAATAATTATGCTTCTCATAAGGAAAACAATAGTTAATGACAATGCACAGATGGTAACAATGACACCCACACCACCGTTCTCGTCCCGCCCCCGTCTAATACAGGTCCACTCGTACACGCCCACACCACTGTCCAACTCATACTCCAGAAAACAATACTAAAATATACTCATAACTGTAACACACAATAAGATGAATATAATACAACATAGTACCTATGCACTGAAAACAGAAATATGGTAAATTTATAATCCATAGTGAAGTGAGGTGTGATGAATGTACAGTATAATTTTGCGAAAGTTGGTTTCTCGGAAGGCGTGCCGGCCCTTTTGCGGGTCGCCCCATTGACGGGGCGCTGGGGGGGGGGGGAGGCTGGCTCTGTTTGCAACACATGGTTCCACAATTTGGCGTTTCGAGTCGTGTTCTCCAGCCTGTGGTGGCGGTGGGCAGCTCCTCCTCAGAGGAAGAGGATTGGGGCTCGTAGGGCAGGCTTCCTCCCCTTCTTTCCGGTGGGTTATCTTGGAGTGGGTGCACTTGGGTGTGATTGAAACGACTTCGTCCCTCGAGTAGGTTTCTCGCTTGTTTCCAGTTCCAAAACGGGACTGTACGGATCTTCGGTTCATTCTGTACTTGTCCTGTCTGAACCGCTGGATTCCATGCCCCTCCATTTGGATGACTACTCTGTCCTAGGTCCAGCTTCTCTTGGAGCTGGGTTTTTGGATGGTGTCTCTGGACCTCTGGGACACTTATTGGCATGTCCCTATTCACCCGGGGTTCAGGGACTGGTTAGATTTTGTGATGGGATGGCGAGCGTACCACTTTTGTTGCCTTCCCTTCGGGCTGAATCTGGCACCTTGCATTTTTACGCGCCTTTCCCGGGTTGCGATGGCCTGTTTGCGTCTGCTAGATGTTCAGGTTTTGGACCAAAAAAACCTATGACTTACCTTGACGACTGGTTAGTTTGGGCTCCCAGCCAGTCTGCTTGTCTGCTCACCAGGGGTTTGGTTCTTTCTCACCTCGCTGGGTTCAGGTTCCTAGTGAACTGGAGGAAATCCCATTTAGTTCCATCCTAGGTTCGAACTTGGCTAGGCCTTATTTGGGACTCTCGGACAGCGTCCGTGTGTCTCCCTCCTGCGGCATTATTTTGGCTGCAGTCCCACCTTTGGTTGTTCTTGAGGGGATCCTGGGTTACTCGGCGGTTGCTCAAGCAGCTGTGCAGGAGTTTGAACTTCACCATGCTGGTTTACCTGCTGAGTCCGATTTGGCTTTGGTATCTGTTCTGGTTCCTTCGGGGCAGCCCCTTTCGCTTTTCTCGCAACCGCTCATCCCTTGGGGGCCTTGCGTCGGTTGTTGTCTCCCCAGCTTCCTCTACGGGCTCTTCAGGTTTCGGTTCCATGGCGCCTGCTGGAGCCCCTCACTTGATGTGTTCACAGATGCCTCGTCCCTTGGCTGGGGCTTTGTAACCAGTGCTTACCAAGCCAGTCAGGGCGATGGGCTTCTTTCTTCTGTCAGGCTCATAACACGGTGCAGGAATTTCGGCAGTGAGGCTTTTGCTGCGGCGGATTCGATTCGGCTCACCGGGTTGGAGAGCTTCATGCTCTCCTTCGACACAGGGGTTTCTGCTCTTTCGGGTCTGGTGGCCGTTTTGTTCATTTACAGCCATCTCCTCCTTTTCTGGCGAAGAATGAGATAGCCGGTTTCCGGAAGGGTCTGTGGGTGATCGATGCTTGGTTGGTCAGGCCGGGGGTGCATAACGTGCTGTGTCCAGTGGTGGCTCTTCGCCGCTTCCTGCGTGCCACTGCTTCTGTGTGTGTGGATGTGCTTTGGGTGGACCCGGTTTCCCTCGTTCCCTGTTCCAGAGCTCAGGTCTCGGGTTGTCTGCAGGGTAATTAAGTCTAAACTGCCTGTGATCTACCCTCGTGCTCATGATGTTCGGAAATTTGCAGCTCATGCTATAGTCTTTGGTAACATGTCTTGGGTTAACATTCGGGCACAGGGTTTTTGGTATTTGAACAGGGTCCTGGTCGCCCGTTATTTGGTTAATGTTCCAAGTCCTCAGTGACCCTGTGTGGCTTTGGGGCACTTGTCGCAGCCAGCGTCTCGTCTTCCTCCTGAGGGACGAAGTGAGGCCGCCTCCCGGGTAAGTCCCCGTTTTACTTGTTTGTGGGTATCTAGCTGCAAGGAGCCGACAGGGCTCCTCACAGAAAACCAACATTGAATTGTAATGAAATGTCATTTTCTGTGTGAGCCTTGGAGGCTCTCTGACACCCTCCCTCCCTCTGGTCAGCCGTTTTTATTTTCATTGCTCAGTCTCCGAACTGGCGGGTGAGCAGTCGGCCCAGGGAAGGCGGTGGCGTGAACGAGAGGCACATCGGTTTGATGACGGTTTTTGCTTGTTGCATTGTTTTCTTGGGAGTTCTTGAATTCTGTTCTGGCTTGGGTTGCAATGTTCTACCAGTTGGGGGTTTGTTTTGGAATGCCTACCGTTCTGGGTGACTTCCCCGGTCGATGGCAGACAGGGATATACTCTTAAAGAGTGGAGTTTTCATAGGCCATTGCTCCATGCACCTCTCTGAGAAACCCAGGTTTTGGCTCGTGGTTCCAGGTAGGTAAGAACTCCATGTGACTGATGCCCCAGACTAATATAGCATACATCAGTCTGATAGCTTCAGAGAGCCTCCGAGGCTCACCCAGAAAATGCGTTTCAGTACATATAATGCTGGTTTTATTGGTGTCTACTATTTTGCCCAGTAGCTTATTCATTACAGCAACCTCATACTGATCAGCTGCATTATCTTTTGTATCATCAGCCTGAATTACTGCTACATTATCTTCTATGGTTTCAGCCTCAGATTCTTCACTGTACTTTGCAGACCGTGGATCCAAAGATTTTGCATTTTAAGTGGCTCCTCGTGCGTCAGCAGGCCATCCTAACCCAGTCTTTAGATTTGTCTTGGTCCTTGACTCTTTTGTCTGCCTTCCCTTTTTTTCTCTCCTCTTTCCTGAGGATATTATTGTACAGTTTTTTTTATGGCAGGCATTTCATGTCATCCAGTTTCTTAGCTTTTTGGCTACTCAGGGTTCTGTTCCTTGTTCTTGGAGGTGGTCTGGTAGAACTGAGGCTATGCCTGCTTTTGGTTTGGGTAGGCCCTCAGGGGATATCAGATTCTATGATGCTCTTTTGTGTCGCAGAAGTATGGCACCTCTTGTGGCTTGTTCCTGCGAAGTTGCAGTAGTGGATCGTCTCACATTCTTTGCAAACTCCAGGTCCCACAATTCATGGGCATTTTGGGTTGTTTCTCTCAGATCCTACAGTGGAGTTGGTTGTGTCCCCCTCATTTTTGGGTCAGTGATGGCGGGTCAGATTTCATCCCTGCCGCTGTGTCAGGTCAATTGTGACGTGATTGAACTTGGGCATGGTCATGCTGGTCTCGTCCCTTCATTAGGTGTTCCGATTGTTCCCATTTCCTAAGAGGGACCTTCTAGGCCTTTGGTTCATCCCCAATCATTTAGGTTTGAAAATCTTCATTCACTGTCCAACTTTCTACATGATTGTTAACCCATGTTTGCCGAGTTTTCTAGTTGGGTTTGGATGGTTCCCTGGACATCAAGGACATACTAGTATCACTCAGTAGTATGTGTGATAGATTGTATAGTATGTTCCTATACATTTAGGGTTCAGGGACTGATAGGTTTTTTGCTAACTCTTGCCTCCAGCTCCGGAGTTGTGAGCTTCATGCTCTTCTCCAGAGGTGGGGTTATACTCTTTTGGCCCTGGTGGGCATTTTCTTCATATGCAGTCATCTCCTTTTCAAGTGAATTATTAGTTGGTAGGCTTCCATAGGATTCAGTTTGTTGTTGATGCTTAGTTGATTTGGCTGGGGGCATCATTTGTTGTTTGACAGCAGTTGTTTATCGCTGCCAACATGTCACCAGGTCTACTGGTGGATGTATTGTGATATGAGCCTGTCTCTTTGGTCCCACATTCCAAAGCTCATAATTCTCAGGCTGCAGTGTTATCAAGTCTAGCCAGCCTGCAGTTTACCCCCAGGGCCACGATGTTTACAAATTTGCTGTTCTCTTGTAATTTTCTAGTATCTTTTGTGTGGATCAGGTAATTTAGTTAGTATCCCTGGTTCTTGTTGGTCCTGTATTGCCCCGGGACATGTTTCCAGACCATTGGTCTCTCCTTTGAATTAGTACCTGCTGTCTCTCCTGTCTGGTTAGTCTCACAATTTTGCTCCGTGGTTATTAATTTAAGCTACAGGGAGCCACCAAGGGGCTTCTCCAGAAACTCGGTGTTGAATGTAATGACACGTGTCTTCTGGTAAAGCCTCTGTGGGTCCGTCTCCCTACTTCCCTGCCAGTTTTGCCAGTTCATTGGGGTGATTTTATCTACTCCAGAACTTGATGACAAACTGGAGGAAGACTGAGCTCTGAGCCACCTGGTGACAACGATCGGTACTAACAGGTTGGAGCTAATTTTGAGTGAATTATTTGGGCTCGGTTGAATCATTTGGGAAGTTGTTCGGCAGTTTCAAGGTTTAGTCTTGTGAACCCAAAAGTTGTCTGTAAAGCCTCGCTGACTCTTTGGATGCTTTCCTGGTGATATGGCAAAATGTCATTTGCACTCTGCACTTCACATGAGGGAGCCTGGTTCTGGTCCCAGGTAGGCCAAACAGAACTCCCGTCCTGTAACCAATCTGTCTTTTAGGAAGGAGAATCTCTGCGTAAGATAGCTACAGAGAGCCACTGTGGCTCTACCAGAAAGAAGCATTTCATTTACATTCAAAGCTGGGTCTTTCTCAATGGTATGTGATGTAAATTTATGTCTAGTGTTACTATACCTACTCTCTCTCGAGGCACTGATTTAGGGTCCCACTGTCTGCCTTTTCTTCCTAGCCCCCATAGGCACAGAAAGAAGGCAGACAGTTATATCATATTGAGCAATCTTATCATTGAGGCCTGGTCTCACAAGAGCACTGACCTCTGGAATCACCACTAGGTTGCAGCACAGTTGCCTACAACCAATAGCAGTGCCATTACCACAGTCCACCACTACAACCACCACCAAAATTTCTTTAAGCAAAACCACTGCAAACAACCACTACAAATTTTAGCAAATTCATTGTACTTACTAAACCAACCAGTGTCAATGGTACCAGTTTGCTGCTACTGCTTCTACCACCACTCTGTTCTTGTTACACCCCACTGTGGTCACTGCACTTCGTGTACTTGTTACATTCCCAATATTCAACTCCTTGTTTGTCTTGTGTGATGCAGTGCCAGGGATGTTTTCAATTGCCTTCATGTGGTTTAATCATAACGAGTTGATAGTTATCTACGTACAGTGTTGTATACAGTATTTCAAGATACAAAAATATCCCAAATAAATATTTTCTAGTGATATCATAATTATCCTTAAAAAAATTATTTTACCTTTAACAGATCGTTGAAGACTTCTTGAGTCGGGATGTCAACTATGTAATAACTACTCGTGGATACCAAACAGCTGGCGGATCAAGCAGTGAACAACAGCCATCACCCAGTGGTGTTCCAATCGCTTCCCCCCTCACTCCACATCAGCCTCAGTCCTCCCTACCCTCCACCTCACATGATTCACCACTGAATAATATTGAATCTCCTAGAGAAGATACGGGCAAAAAACGTATTGTAAGTATATGTTAATTGTTATGTGCAATAATTCACCAAATTTATGTACCTACTAAAACCAAAAGTAGAGGAATTCAACTTTCATTACTTGTTTGAACTGATTACTTCTAAATCTTATGTTTCTTTTTCTTTCAATAGTGTGGTTTGATATTTTTGTTTTTTCCATAGTGCATTAACTGAAACTTGTCCAACTTGTCTTTGTAATTGTGCATTCCACATATTATTGTCTGTGGCCCATTAAAAGATGATTAACATCAGATTGGAGGTTTGCTGTGTCCTCTATTCTCTCTTCTCTTGAAAATCCTAGTGTCATCTGCAAAGAATGATAGTGTTATAGTTTGTATCACATATGACACTATAAAATGAGCGTCTGCAATTTTCTAACCTGGCAAGTCTACTTCTATCGTACAACACTCAAGGTACCCTCCCTCGGTCTGTCTCCAGTGTGTTGCTGGAGACCTCTGCTGGCAAGTTCACTTTTCTCAGTAAATCATGGGCCAGTCCTCTACAATATCGTCACAGTGTCAAAATACCACTTCTACTCCCCGGCAACACACTGGCAGGTCTTCAGCAACACACTCTGGCTGGCTTCCACAGAGGCTTCAACTATAACATGCCTTAACAGAAGGACGTTAATTCCATCTCGTAACTCAACTGGGCCATCCCAGGATGCGTCGGTCCAATCACCAATACTTCACTGTGTATCACAGACAAATCACAATCTACACCGACTCGGCCTACTTATTCCTACTGGAACACATCTTGAGTTCAGGACTGCCCTGGGTGAACTGATTTCTGTTGACCAAGGTACCACCCACATGACTTCTGAGGAGAAAAAGATGAATAGTAAGAAATAAACTACACAGGTGTCAATAAGATCACAGCCTTCCACCAGGGTTCTGAAAACAGGTGTGCTCAACAGATGGCAATGACATCATCACACCTCCCCTCCTAAAAGAATTGGGGTTGGGTGTGCTCAACAGATGGCACACATCTGTTGAGCACATCTGAGTGCTCAACAGATGGTCGACATCGTCACATGGCCTTTTGCTCTCTTTACCTCTTATGGAGTTTATATAATTCTTGCAACTTTCTTTCAATCATTTCTGTTTCTCTTCATAGCCTTCTTTGTCGTTCTTGGGATAGAGTGAAACACTTGAGATATTTTGCAATTTGTTTTCTTCTTCTATAGAATAACTCTGTTCTCATTCTAGTTCTCATCTTTTTCTCCTTATTGGTATGCGATTTGTGCATATTTCTAGTGCTACTGTACCTATTTTCACAAGGCACTGGTTTAAGTTTGCATTATCTAGCTGTCCTTCCCAGCATATTTCTGTGGGGTCTTGGTTTATTTGTTCCCAGTTGATCTTTTTGTAATTAAAATAGAATTTGCTGAATTCTCTTTCTCTTAGACTGGCTACACAGGTCTATTGCCCATGCTTGTCTGACTTCAGTCATTGGTTGTAAAAATAAGATTTATGATGTAAATCCTAAGATTTAGGATGGTTTTTTAGTTGGTACTGCTATTTGCTGGTTTAAGTCTAAATTTTTCACACATCTGCAAGAGGTTATTTGTGTGTGACATCATTTAAACTGCTTTCTGAGGTTCTCTCTTTCTGTACAATATTTCCCAAATTTTTTTCATCTCAGGTGGCACAGTTGATAAGTTGAAGTCCTCAAGCAAGTTGATATTTGGGGCAGGGTTTGGGAGGTGTTCTAAGCAGTGTTCTATTTTCCTTAGTTGGTTTTTAAACTGCCGAGATTAGTATCTGGTGATTTATGTACGAGGAGAATTACCACATTTAGAATTTCTAATTTTAGGTATTGGGAAAAATTGGCAATTATGGTTCCTTCGAACCCTCACTTAAAATTCACACTTAATTTTATGATTTTTTTCTATGCAGTTAAGCTGGTGTATCATTATAAATGATGATACATGTTATGGATAAGATATATAATGTATAGATTTGAACATATTTAGTCGACGTTAAAACTTTGAAAAGGGCTTTTCTTTTGTATACAAATCTTTTCAACTTCTTTCTCAAGATTGTCATCATCATCTGTTCCATCTTAATTAGTGGTAAATTCTAAAAGAGCATTCTTTTCATAATTAAAAATGTAAAAAACAATAACACTGAAGCAATGGGGAGCCGGTCAGCCGAGCGGACAGCACACTGGACTTGTGATCCTGTGGTCCCGGGTTCGATCCCGGGCGCCGGTTTGAAACTCTGCCCATTGAGAAACAATGGGCAGAGTTTCTTTCACCCTATGCCCCTGTTACCTAGCAGTAAAATAGGTACCTGGGTGTTAGTCAGCTGTCACGGGCTGCTTCCTGAGGATGGAGGCCTGGTCGAGGACCGGGCCGCGGGGACACTAAAGCCCCGAAATCATCTCAAGATAACCTCAAGAATGTATGTTAAGAAGAAAACCATACAAATCATTGTAAAAAATGAGACCTGAATTAATTATATTCTTGGCAAATATGGTAATCTGTTGTGTGAATGATGATATTCTATACATTTGGAACATGTATGGCCCAATATTTAATTTAATAACATTGTTTTCCATTTAAGTACAGTATTATATTTATCCTTTATTTTGCAGAGAACTAGAGCTGAAGTGCTCTTGGAACGGGCCTGTGTGCGCCGCCAAGGCACCAGTGACGTCCTTGAAAACGCTCGGTTGTGGAATGTTCCTGTGTGGCCATTGGCCAAACTTCTCAAGTGGTTATCTGTATTAAAAGAAAATGACCGATACAGACCACCGAAGACACCGAGCACCATAACGTCTAAAGGATCGTCGTCTTTGGCAAAAGTTCAACGTTTAAGAATTCCTTTTATTAAAACAGAATCCTTTAGTAGGTTAGTGAATATGAAATATAATACTTAAAATTTTAAAGTGAGATAATACTGTACTGTATAACAATTTTGTCATGTTTATTAAAATTACATAACAATGGAAAAGTTATACCAGTGTGCCCTAAAATTAGTTTTTGAGATTGAATGAAAATGCATAATTTGAGCATGTGTTGTGAATGCTAATCAGTGAGGAAATCGGTTGAAGCCATGAGAAGAATTTGAATCTATGCACTGGGTACTCCCAGGCATAGTATAAAATCCTACTGATTTCCTCATTGATACATTACATTAATGAGATTTCTTTGTGCATTCTAATCAGTACTGACAATAGAGATTCGCTGACTTTGATTGCCTTTCGTTGGTGTTGGCAAAAATGAATAAATTTACATAGACGGTTTTTGTAGTGCTTCTGCTCCTTGTGCCTCTGAGGGGACCAGGTTCTGGCTCATTGTCCCTGGTGGGCCAATAAGAACTCTGCAACTATTTGGTTTTGGGAGTTTTGGCATTCTCTTTGAGTGTTGGGTGTGCAATGTCCTGTGGATGTTCATGGGGACCTCACTGGGCTTGTGTGGTGTTGGGTTTGGTTGCCCTGCTTCGCTCTCTATTTCTTCGTCGTTCTTCATGGTGAGAGAGCCTACTGGTAGCCAGGATCAGAATCTGGCTCTTTCTGTGAGGCTAGGAGAACTTTTGGATCAGATTTTAACTTAAAACTTGAATAACCCCCACCAAGAATTATAAGCACAAAACTAAACAACTGCCTGAAGAAAACTAGGTATCCACAGATAATGAATCAAATGATCACTGCAGTTGAGGGTGTGCGCGATACACAAATGAGAGTAACCAAAGACTAAGAGAAAGTGCAAGGGTTGTGTGTATCCCAGTTTTGAGAACCCCTGCTCAAAGTGTATCTGATGAAGGATAGAAGAGTAGAGGGAAGGCAGAATAAATTATAAAGAGTAAGTAGGTAAGAGAAAGTGGATGGATGGAGCAGAGGGAGAAAGTATTAGATCGTTCTATCTATTACTAAGGATGGTCAGGTGGAGGGAAGGGGGTGTATTGAACAATTTCAGAATAGGTGATAGCCACCCATCCACTTCTCAAGGCTCAGATCAGACCAGCTGTCTGGCTTGCTTTGTCTATCTGTCTGTCTGTTTCCACGCTGTATTTCCATTACTTATTATGGGATGGTTGCAACTAGAGATATAATTAATGAGTCAGTGTCTCTCCCTTCCTCCCTCCCTCCCCACTGCTACTCTAAAATACTGTACCGCTTTCCAACACCTGCTGGCACTACCACACGTGCTGCTGTTTTCAATGCTGTTCACTTGGTACTCATGGATTTGGAACAGCTAGAAGCACCAGAGAAAGCAAACACAATCAGCTGGTGTTGGCTGCCTCCTGTAAAATTAACTCCTCACCCACTCCCCTTCCAATATTGAATCGTCTGCATTGAATCATCAGGAACTTTCATTTATCTGAACTGACGCTGGTTTATCTGAAAAATGAAGTACAGGTGAATGATGTTCTCTATATCTAAGAAAGATTGAAAGAATTTAGGTATAAGGTATTTTATTACCTTGTAAAAGAAGTAAATGTTTTATTTATTTTTCAGACAATACAAGCCACTCTTTAAAGAATTACCTGTTTGGCCTCAACTGAACCTGTCAAATCCACCAGGTGTATCACCATTCGCTGATCCCAAGCAAACCAAAGCACGTCAAAACCCAAAGACAACTTCACCACATCGAGACGATCATAGAGAAAAGTTTGTCCCAATGTACTTCATTATTTTTTTTTTACAATCTTCATTAATATTAATTTATTTTCTCATGTTTGTTTCTTCATTTTCTGAATTTCATATATAACACTTGGTCCCTTAACCCCTTTCTTATGATACGAGTCTAGGGGGTCTAATTCCGAAAAATAAGTTCACTACTGTATGCGAGTTTTACCATATACATAAAAAAAAATGCTTCAACATCCTGAAACGTTTCTCCAGGCATCTGGCCTCAGACCAGGAGTCAAGGCTTACTAGATGCAGCAATCTTGTGGTTGTAGGGGAAAACTGCACCCAACACAGTAGCCCAAATTTTGTCAAGAATAATTAGTTCCTGTCCAAGACTCGATCACCGATATGAGTGCTATGTTGATTAATATAAACATAAAAAGATAAATATTTTTCTTGTTGAAAATTAAAAACCCAGCATTGCATGTAATGAAACAAATTCCTCTTTCTAGTGAAGCCCCAGTGGCTTTTTGAAGCTATCTTGCTGAGGTTTCTCCATACTAAAAGTCTTATCAGTTGCGGAAGTTATGTTTGGCCTGGGACCAGAGCTGGAACCTTGCCCCCCCCCCCCCCCCCCTCAGAGAGGCACAGGGAGTGAGTGACAATTCACCACCCCAGTGGGAAAAGCATCCAAAAAGAGAAGCTTAACAAACAACTGGAAGGTTCACAGAAAACTCTGCAAATGATTCACACACAACAAAGGATTCACTCAAACCAGCCAGCTTTCCCGACCAGCAATTCTGGAGATGATGAGCATCCACCAGTGAACTGATGAATCTGTAGGGACGGGCAGGAATTGGGGAGCCACCAATTCTTCATCAGAAAGAGGTGTTTCATTACAGTAAACACTAGGTTTCTGGGGAAATCCCTTGGTGACTCCCTTAACGGGTCGGAATTCGAAAATCTCAAGCTTGCTCAAATTCTCTCAAATATTTTTTTTTTTTTTTTTTTTGCATAATCTACATGGTACATGGTAAATGCACCAACTGTTCCTTATGGATCAACATCGTAATATGAACACAATTTTTTTTTATATATATAAATTGACAATTGTCAATTTTCAAAATCCTAAAAACAAATATTAAAATGTCACCAATTTGTTTTGTATTAATTGTGGTCTAAGAATGACATATGATAATAATTTTCGATTGTTTGGTTTAAGTTTGGGAGTATTGTTTATTGTGAACAAAATTGTTAATGTGGCCCCTCCAAAAAGTGGCAAATTTAGACGCAAAAATTTATAACCCCAAAATTTATGGCCTTATAAGTAAATACGCAACAGAACCTTTAGAACAAAGAACTTTGTACATACGAGTATGGTCGTTTTACATTATGGATTTCCTTGTAAGTTTTAATAAACATTGCTTGGCATTCGTACTCCATTATGTGAAAGTTGTAGTTCAAAATGTGTTGAAATGAAGTCAGCAAAAAATACCTCCCATTCAAAAATAAATATATAGGGATAATGGGTTTGGGATGACCATACACTGGAAGGTGAAGGGACGACGACGTTTCGGTCCGTCCTGTCCTTGAGGTCCGTCCTCAAGTCGATCATTCAATCAATCTTGATCATTCACAATTGACTTGAGAATGGTCCACGACGGACCGAAACGTCGTCGTCCCTTCACCTACTAGTGTGTGGTCTGGTCAATATACTTAAGCCACGTTATTGTGACTCATCGCCTGCATGTAGACGCCACAACCAAATTAGCTGAAAACAAAGATGAAAAAAAAAAATTGGTTGACAACTTCGCGTACAAAGGGGAGGGGATATAAAAACCATTGGCATTAGTCAATGTATTTATATGATATATAACAAAATCCAGCAAAATAATGTGAAATTACTCATTATGATGTGTGAAATTTGGTCCTCCAGGTGGCGCTCAAAATTGCTAGAAGGCACCAGCTGCATATCCACTTTGTGGACCCTCCTTACTACTATTCTTTGTGCACCAGACAGATGCTTGCATCTCTTTATCCCTGCATTATTCCTGAGTTCCAGTAAATAGGCACTGTTATCGTTATCATCAGTACCGGTTGCGGCTCGTCGTGCACGGATTTATTATTAAAAAAATTTGTATAACATCCATTTCTTAACATATTTGGATGAAGTTTTCATGTTGCTGATGCCAAATAAAGTGAACTTTGTTTACCATTTGTCAATTTATTTATATTTTGGACTTAAACTAATGACATAACAAGAAATGGGACTTACCAGGGAGGAGGAGAGGCAGTAAGCACTAGGATGAAGAAGAGGACCCTGGCTGGGGGAGAGGGCCAAACCACACATCAGAAAATTAAGAAATAACATTTTGGTCTGTCTTGGACTATTATCAAGTTGTGTAATAGAAAGAGTGGAAGAGAGAAACAATAAAAGGGAAGAAAGTGAGATGAATGAAAGATAAGAATAAGATGAAAGGAGAGAATAAGTTCTTGAAGAAGAAGAAGGTGGGCATGTTCAGGAAAATGAGAACCCAAAATTAGAAATGGAGAAAGTGAGAAAAGGAATGAGGGAGAACTTGTTCCATAACCAAGGTCTTTAGCCTTAGTGATGGGCTTAGTATCTGCCTCCAGAAAATACCTTCAAATTGGAGGCATTTTCATGGAACAGGTGACGTCTGCTCATATTGTTTGGTCATACCAGGTACAATCCAGGTATGCTTGTTAATGATACAGGTCTGTAATTTAGAGGGCCTTCTCTGCTACTTTTTTGTTGACTGGAATTATATTTGCCTTTTTCCATATATCTGCTAAGATTCCTGTACTCAAAAATACTTTATCTGGTTGTTTTGGTCCTTTCCTCTTTGGCACAGAACTCCGTGTGTAACTCGGCTTTTGGATTCTTGGGGTTTGCCCAATACTGTTGCCCCAAGCATAATCTTGCTAGATAGCTTCAACATAGGGCACCTAAAAATGAAAAATGTGGCAAATTCAGTTATACCATAGAGAATCACATAAGCATCTTAAGTAAGCAGTTGCACACAGATGACCTTTCGCAGATGTGTGTCAGATTTGCCTTAATCCAGCAAATAATAGAACAGGCAAGGAAAGAAGATGCCTTCAATCTTATTTTTACAAATAATGATGACCTATAGGCACAGTAGGACTAAAAATATGTGTAAGTCACAATCACAAAGGAGAAAGAAAAAGATGCAAACTGGAACAAGAATGACGTTCCCTATATAGCAACGAAAACAAATTGCAAAACATCTTAATTACTTCACTCTATCCCAAGAACAATAAAGAAGGCTATTTGGAGAAATTGAAACGATTGCGCTAAAGTTGCAAGAATCACATAAAATCCAGGAGAGGCAAAGAGAGCAAAAGTCTACAAGTGAAATAGAGGAGTCAAAAATACTTTTTTCTCCTATGCAAAATCTATAACAAAAACTACATCCTGCATTGGGCCACTTGCACAAAGGTAATGTTACCTTCACAAATGATGGCAAAGAAATGAGTGAAATACTGAGGTTACAGTAAGATTCTGTTTTCAGTGAACTCCTGAACACATTGCAGATCAAGGATCCAAATGAATCCTTTATGAATGTGACACCACCATTGAGCCATATATCAGATGTTACCCTAACCCTTCTTGACTTTGAAGTAGCCCTAGCACTCTGGATCAGGCCCAGACTCCTAGAATTCTATTTTCACCAAGAATTGCATAAAACCACTATCACCTAAAATTTTTAAATCTGTATTCTCTAGAGTGCAGGCAGGAGAGATACTTTGGTAATAATTTACACTTGGAAAACATTAGAGGTACTGGTTCTAAATCTGCACACACAAATATGACCACATGAGACCAGAAGGCATGGCAAGATGTGCAAAATAGTCCCACTAAAAAGCAGAGCTACAATAGGCATGCCTGGAGAGAACTCGATCAGCCTCAGTGATCCAAGACTTTTCAACACACTTCCCCTACACATACGGGGGCATATCTGTCCGACTTTTCACAGTATTCAAAAGAGAACTCGACAAGCAACTTCACAGGATACCTGATCAACCAGGCTGTGACTCACATGTCAGGCTGCAAACAGCCTGGTTGATCAGAGCAGCAACTAGGAGGCCTGGTCAAACCTGAGGCAAACAAGTCAAACTCTCACAAGTCAAGCCTGGCCTCAGGCCGGGCTTGGGGAGTAGAACAACTCCCAGAACCCCATCAACCAGGTAACCAGGTAAACCAGGCCACAGGGATGTTGATCCTCGGAATCATTAACAGTTAGTTAACGAGTCTTGGTGGAGCTGCTCTTACTGTTTGGTGTTGACATTTCCTCTGTACCATTTTGCAAGTTGTCTTTTGAATTCTTTCACCACCAGTCAGCTCATTCTCCTCCTGATCCACCCTCTCAATAGGGTGCTGGCATTTCTTTCCTCCCTTTGGTTCACTGTGGCTTCCCCTGGTTGGGAGACTACATTTTTTATGGCTGTTTTTACTGGCTCTCGTCTCTGGTTGTCAGGTTTGGGAACTTCATGCTTTCCTCTGCAGGCTTAGGTTCTTTTTCTTTGGCTATGGTAAACATTTTTGTAGTTTGATGCCTTCTCCATCTTTTCTGACGATGAATGTGATAGTTGGGTTCTGGAGGGGTCCTTTGGTTGTTGCTGCTTAGTTTGTCCGGCCAGGGTTGCATCATTTGTTGTCTGGTAACAGCGGTTCATTGCTGCCTGCAACCCTATCTGCATTGCCTTAGTGAACACACTCATTGTTGACCGGGTTTCCTTGGTTCTTTGTTTCACAGCTTGTTTATTTCAGGTTGTCGGCAGTGTCATTAAGTCTAGGCAGACTGTGGTCTACCCGCAGGCCCATAATTTTTACAAGTACGCGACTTTGTCTGTGGTGTTTCGTAACATACCATGAGCTGATGTTTGGGCTCAGGGATTTTGGAGGTCTAAAAGGGTGGCTCATTATCTGGTCATTGTTCCTGGTCCCAGGTGGGCTTGTGTTGCCCTGGGTCAGATTTCCTGTCCCAGAGTCTCATCTTTGTGAGGGTTGATTTTGAACTCCTTCCCTGATAAGTACCATGTTTTCTTTCTGCTCTGCTATTTGTTAGTCAGTTTTTGGTCTTTCTGTTTTGGACTGAGGCAAAGATGGTGGAGAAGGTGGGAGCTCCCGGTGGTACTGCCACCTATTGGTGGCCTTTTGTAACTAGAGGGATTCGAGCTAGTTTCTGAGCGAATCATTTGTAGTGTCATTTGGCCGTTTTGATTTCGATGATTCTTGCAGTTGTTTGTATTGCTTTGCTTACTTTCTGAATGTTTCTGTAGTGAGGGTGATTTTAACAATTCCCTGCTCTCTGTGCCTTTTAGGGAGGCCAGGTTCTGGCTCTGGTGCTCAGTAGGCCATATAGAACTCCATGGCTGATGTAATGTCAGCAAAAGGCATCCATCTCAGCGAAATAGTTCAGGGAGGCACCGGAGCCCCACCAGAGGAAAGAGGTGTTTTGCTACGTTCATTGCTGGTTTTGTTTGTATTTTAGATACTGGTGAGTAGTGGTTCTGTATGCTATCCATCTTGAAAACAAAAGATCCCAAATCAATTACATGTAATAGTTGTTCCATTTGTTATGAAATGAACATTATATGATTCCCAGCTGATGGCATTAGTGCTTTTCACAAAGATAGCTTCTGTCAATTTGAATGTTCGAAGTTTATATATATATATATTATAGATATGGAAGGGAGTACCACCTCTGGCTGGAAGAAGAGGATCCTTAGCCTCGGATGAAAGCACACACAATGCATTAGAAGGAATGTTAAGGTTCCCTCCAATACAGTTTCTATGTGATTTTCTCCTACCCCCCCCCCCCCTTCCTTTTGTATTTTGTTGTACTTTATTAGATATTTAAAGATTACAAGATGTACATTGGTTAATACAATGAGTACTTAAAGGGTATGGATCTCTTGGAGCTCCTCTGCTTCCGGACAGGAACCGAGGACGCAGCAGGCGTTTTCCCTCTGGATCGCCACACTGAGGCACTGAAACCAGAAACTGGCAGACCTTGGGTCGCTGGTAATGTCGATGAGCCTGGAATCCAATTCTTTGAGAAATTCCAAGGCACTCCTACCCCAGGGGCTATGCATCTCAGACGCTATGGAAACAAGTGTGTGTTGACCTTCCAATCGCCTGTATTTGACTGATTTTACTATTTCTCTGTGGTTGGCCGCCCCACCTGCTTGATCAGCGCCGAAGTGTATGTAGGTGTCTGCCAGGGTGGATACACGTGTAGTCTCACACCAGCTGTTTGGCCCTTTAGCAGGGGTATATTGTGATTACATCTGGGCGAAATGCGGTCATCTGGGTTTTGGTCCCTTAGACTGCTAGGTTCTCTCTACGCTGGACACTGAGATAAGACAAGGCTCCTTTTTTACGATGTCATTAACCTCATTGTATCTTGCATGACAGCCCTTGGAGCTTATGCAGTGCAACCCATGCAATCCATATTGGTCTGCTTCCACCCTGTTGCAAATATTCAGTGTGAATTGGGGCACCTAGGCGGAGGGCCACTGCTACACGAAGGGATTCTGGATCTAGATGCGTGCCTGTTACCGACATGGGTACTGCCAGAAGGAAAGTCTCTTGCATGGGGAGCTTGCACTGCTTTGAGGCGGGCTTTCTTATCTAATGTTGTAGGGCTGAGCATGGCATCAGCTGTTTTTTCCACCAATGGGTGGTCCCAGCTGGACTATTTATGTTTTGTTGAATATGATGGGTGCTGTGGCTGCAAGAGCATCCCACAGATTTGAACATTCAGTGAAAGCAGGATCCTGTATTTCTGCTGAATCACTCAGGGGTTTTGGTAGGATATCTCTTACGAGGTCGTACGATGCATGGGAGGAGGAAAGGATGGCTGGTAGTAATCCGAAAGGCTGTGCAGACACCAAGGCCGCCGAATTTTACAGGGAGGGTTGCTTGCTACCATTGAGTTGTCCAACGGAAGGTTCAGGACTTTCACCAGCATGGACCTCAGCAGAAGGGTGTCATACTCATTGAATTTAGGGCTGTTGTAGGATGGAGAACACCTCTGAGAGTAAGTCAACATAAGGAGCATCCTCTATATTTTCTACGCGCATGAAAATCCTAGTGTCACCTGCAAATGATGATACTGTACTATAGTTTCTATCCTTGTCTATGTCTGATATGAGGCTGAGAAAAAGAACTGTAGCAAGTACCCTTGGGGGACTGAGCTTTTCACAGTGGATGATCCGGATTTTACTGTGTTGACTATTACACTCTGTATTCTGTTCATTAGGAAGTTAAAGATCCATCTTTAACTTCCATCTTCTAATTACTTTGCCAGTAATTCCTTTTGAATGCATTTTGTGCTCAATAACACTATGGTCACATTTGTTAAAAACTTTTGCAAAGTCTGTGTATATTTTGCTTGTCTTCTAAGGACCTAAGGCCATGTCATAGTGATTTAGCAGTTATAGGAGGCAGGAGCGTCCCTTTCTGAACCCATGTTGCCGGGGTTATGTAGATGAGATTCCATGTGATTTGTAATCTTACTTCTTAGCACTCCTTCAAAGGTTTTTATGATGTGTGAAGTTAGAGTAATTGGTGTATAATTGTTTGCATCTGATTTACTAGCTCCTTAGTAAAGTGGCACATTCTCTGCTGTTTTAAGTATGTCAGATATGACACCAGTATCTAGGCTTTGTCTCCAAACAATGATTGCAGTTTCTTGTCCTCCATCTGGTGTTTGCAGGTAGGTATTTTTTTTACCTTTTGAACTGGTGGTAGTTTCCAAGAGTTAAAAAATTGGCACTACTTATTGCTCAACTTTGGCAAAGCCTCTCTGGTTGACTTTTGCATTAACTGTGCCATCTGTGCATTTTCTTCATCTGGTTGGGCTCATTTTTTGTTTTTGGTTTTGCGCCTTTACCTGGATCCTGGATACCTGTACCTGTTTGTCTGTCTTTTGCATGGGCATCAGTGCTTACATTCTTAAGTTGCATATCAATCTCCTGCACATTTGCCAACTATGCTCATTGTGAATGTTCACCATTCCAGTAGGGACCCATGTTGGTGCAAGTTGGTTTTGGTCCTGGTGTGCATACCACCCCATGTCCTTTGGCAGTTGGTCATCATAATTGTTCTTGCTATGAGAGTATCCCATTCTGATGACCTGTTTTTCGATCCTCGTTTCGTGTTGCTGTTACTCAAGTCGGCTTTACTCTTTATTTCGCTGGGTAGTCACAGTAAGTCAGTTTTTGTACATTTCAGAGCCCGTGACCTGCACAAGTTCGTTGATTTAGCTGTTTTTGATTCTTCATATCTGCAGTCAAGTTGTAGACCTGGGTTTTGGGCATGCCAACATGGGTCTGGCAGCTCATTCTCTTCCAGCTTTTCACGCGCCTGAGGCGGCGCACTGTGATGTGAGCCGCCTGACTAATGGTTGATATCCTTCTTGCCCTGTCTCCAATTCCTTTCGTAATGGATACTACTGTCACGGGTAAGTCCAAGTTACATTTTTATTTGTAATAGTGTTCTTGCATTCTTATCTATTTGTGCCTTTTTATTTAAAATTTAATATTACTGAATAACCTCTTTGAGGCGATGTGTGAGGAAGATAATGGGAGCTATTGAGAGGGCATAAGTCCAGAAATATAATGTGTATAATAAAAGGCCTCATTTTAAGCAAAACATCAGAAACAAAACTGAAGAATCAAAGGTCTGCGTTGTCTTTGCTCCAATGTCAGCTGGTTTTGCTTGTGTCTGTGAGTGGGGTGGTCACCTCGCCTGAATCCAAAGTAGCCTATGCTGTCACCTGGTGATTGTTTTGGAAACAGAGTATTGTACCAGTAGTTTAGGATTGGGCTTTTTTGAGTTGTGCTTTCTGATTTGATGGTTGCCTAAACATGTCTCGAAGGGAGCTCGAGTGTATTGTGACGTCTCAATTTTTTTTCTTTTTTCTGTTTGAGGGAGGGTTTTAGTAGTTGATTGAGTTCTAATCTTGATATGCTTTGTCCTGTTTGAGGATGGTTGATTCAAGACAGTCCAAGAAAGTAAAGTACCATGTAAATTGGTACTTGTCCAGTATGCCCTTAACCTACGGGTCACAAGCTAAAGGGAGCTATTGAGATGCTGCCAGAAAGCGGCTTTTCATTACATTCAATGCTCTTTTTTTATTTAAAAATATATTCAGTAACTTTCCTGCATACAAAACTGTTTTCTTTAGTTTAGAATTTGTTAAATGGTAATTAGGACTTAAGGTAGGACTGACTTAAGATAATTAACAGTTTGAAATCTAGACATGTTGATAAATGTAAGGGTGTACATTGGCCCACTCCCCTTCCACCTTCCATGGCTGAAATAAAATAAAGTAGGCTAATGTTATTGCTCACAAACTCATATGTGGCAATCTTGCCATTTACTTAGAAAAATTAACTTTACTCTCTGCTCATTTGTCAGAGCAATAAATGAAATTATTGTGGAGTAAATGATCATGGCAACTTGGCAGCAGCTTGCTGTTATGAAACTGCCGTACTGTATTTGTATAGTCTGTACTAAAGCTGACCTGCTTTCTCAACTGGTTGGGCCCAAACTCAACCGAATAGCCAGGTGTACCCTCCCAGCTATGAAAAATATTAATTTTAAGTTAAAATATTCATCACAATTCTGTATAGATTACTAAGTATTAAATATTGTATACTACAGGAAGTTTACAATTTACACATAACACATATGTGATATTTATGATTCTTGAGATTATCATTATTTATGGTGATATAGCATCGATTGGTTTTCTGGTGCGGTCGAATGGTGGCTCCCTATAGCTAGTTGCACTGATATAGCTTGATATGTATGTCATATCAGCCCTAGGGGTCCTTAAGAGCTCACCAGAGACCAGAGCCTGAATCTGGTACACTCAAAAATGTATAGGGAGCACCCTCACCAAGGACACACAAAAAAAGTAAGCAAAACAAAACAGATAATTGCAAGATTTGCAGAGAAATGAAAATGTGATGAGCAAATAACTCTGCAAATGATTCATCCAGTACTTGTTTCGAACCCTTCTAGTTATGGTTGGCAACTGCTAGCTTTCAACACCATTGAGTGCTGCTGGCTCCCATCTCAATATTATTCAGTCCTGTACCTAATCTCCACCTGTGTGGACTGTTGCTCGAGTCACCAAACCTCTCCGGTCTAGACTATTTCTAGATTCTATGGACTCTTATATATCTTTCCATGACTTACTGTTTGCTTCACGTGTGTGTTTATACACACCTCACTTGTTTTGTAGACTTTGAAAACCATTCACTTCGAGCTGCATGTGCTTAGGGATGCCCTATCTCAAGTCCCTATTTACTGATGCCCTTGCCTTGATAGTAATTACTTAAGTGTGTGTAATTACCTTAGTGTAGTTACAGGATGAGAGCTACGCTCATGGTGTCCTCGCTTCCCAACACTCTCATATAATGCTTTGAAACTACTTACAGTTTTGATTTCTATCATCATCTCATTTGTTCCAGGTGTCTCTCACTCTGTGAAAGTGAATTTTCTTATTTTTCTTTGGCAGCTCAGTGTGACTTCCCAGGTGGTATTGGGAGTTCCGTCCCATAAAGGCAGGTCTACTGTGTAGGGTGCTTCGTTTTGAGTAGTGCAGGGGTGATTGACTCATCTGTGAGGCTTTGTGATTGGGGACATTCTGGGGGTTTATTGAGTGAGGGATGCACTAGGGTTCATGTGCTTGTACTGCTGAAGCCCTTCTTAACCACGTTTATCTTAAATACTACACTCGGTGAAAGTTCTTTCAGTGAGTGTCCCTAGTGCCTGGGTGTCCTGCTTGGTCTTTGTCTTCAGGCCCTGGCAAGCCCTGTGGATGTTTGATATCGCTTATTTTGGCTCGATCTGCCAAGCCTGGGCTCATTGCTTGTGAGCTTGAGGAATTTCTATCGGTTTTCCTGCTACAAATCGATGATCATATGTACTGTCTCCCTTGGCTGCCTGCCTGTTAGGTAGGTATTACCCTCTGCTCTAAGGCCTGGGATTTTTAGTTTGCTGGGACTCTTTTAGTTAAAGCTTTTATATTTTTTGTTTTCTTTTGTAGCAACAAAGATTTACAAGGGGGCGACTGCCTTGATTTATTTTGCTCGCCTTGGAGTCAACGCACTTTGATCCTTGAGATTTTGGAGTTGAAGTTGCTTGTTTTTCTACTATTACTGTGTTCACTGCTCCACCTGTTGTCCATCTGGCATTGTTGTATGCACAGAGAAGGCTCCGAGAAGTCAAAGGGTTTTCGAGTATGGGCTGCATTTTGCTGTTGATGTAGTATGGCCTTCTCTGGGGATTGTTTCTTCCATATTACGTCGAAAGACGTTTTGGCCGTGTGTTCCTGTCTAGGATTCATAGCTGTCGTTTTCTCTTGGGGGGGGGGGGGTGTTTGGCTTGGATCCTTTTAGTGTTTGGAGATGCCTTCCTATCTGTTTAGGCATCAGGTGCAGAACTCGGCTTTGCCCCGAGGTCTTCATTTCAGACTTCCGGGGAGCTGGGGAGGAGGGCAAAGTGAATCCCTGGGTGCCCTTCAACCTGTCCTGGTCTCTGGTCCCCCCTGTGATGGTTTTTAAGCTTGGAAGAGGATTTTTTTCTTTATCTTCCATGTACCATTAAATGTCCTAGGAGTCATTGTGTTTTAGGTGGTTTTGGTTGTTCCATCTTCCACCTGTCACCTCAATCAATCTTTTTGGTTCTTCCTGCAGGTTTGGGACTTCGCTTCTCTCATGAGCCGGCCTCTTTTTGAGTTTGGGTTGGCTTCGACCCAGTGGTTGCATTGCGAGGTTCCTCTTCTTCCTGGCTTAGAGACACCCCCTCTGATTCTTTGGGGAATAGGCATGGCTTGGCCTTACTGGAGCACTTGAATAGTAAATGCTGGGCCCAGTCTTTCAAGTATCCTTGGGCAGAGCCACTTTTGCACCATTGGTGTTGCACCTAGTTGCATGCTCTTTTTTGCCAAGTTGTCTCCTTTAGGAGGCAGTAGCAATCTTTCTTGGCCCATCTCGTATTCAGCTGTCTCTTTGGTGTTCTTAGCAGCGGCTGTTGCTTTCCAGCCCCTTACTCAGGTTCTTTCGCAGAGTGGGCCTGTCCCTGCTGCTCACCTGTTGTTCTCCTGGGTTAGGGCTTCACCTATGGTTGATTGGGGTAGGCCTCTATTGGAGCCAGATTCTCAGGTGTTCTGCTGCCTATGCTTTTCACCTTCAGTCAGCATTGCTCTTGGGCATCACAGAAGAGTTCTTTTGCTTGAGATTTACTTGCCAGCCATTTAGTGATTTACCCCTTTGACAGCACTGTGGGGGAAACATGCAATTTTGGCTTTTTTGTCCAACAATAAACGTGGCTTCTGTGTTATGTCCTGAGGTTTTTTTTATAAAGTTATTCCCCCCCCCCTTTCTTCTGACACCCTCCTCTTGTTTCATGGCTTTAGGGTCAGGCATTCTTTCCACATCCCTGTTCTGTCATTGTGACTTGGTGAAATATAATAAAATAGAGTTAATCACCTATCAGTGGGTATTCTGATTATCCCAGTCCCCAAATGAGACTCGTTGGACCTATGATACATTTTTCTAGACCTTTCGGGGTTGAACAGAATTTACTGCCATTTCTGACCTCTCGCGTGCTTCTGTTCGCTAAGATACATCTGGTGTTGCAGGTGGAGTCTTGGATAGTGTCCCTGGATCTCTAGGATGTCCCTATTCATCCTTGGTTCATTTTGAGTCGTACTTGCCGCTTTCAGATTTTCCCTTTTGGCTTGAATCTGGCTCCTTAGATCTTTACCAGGTTAACATTGGTAGTTTTGACTTACCTATGTCTTTTGGGGTTCTCATTTTGGCCTATCTCTATGATTGATTGGTCTGCATACCAGGGATATGGTTCTTTGCCAGTTTGATAGGTTCAGGTTCCTACTGAACTAGGGGAAGTCTCAGTTCCTTCCCAGGTTTGGACTTTGTTGGGGCTGGTTTCAGTTTCTGGGGTCGGCTTTCCTTTCCCTGCCATCTAGGGTTGTGTTCTGTCTCCAGTTTCAGATCTGACTGGTGCTGGATTGGCCCCAGGTTACTTAGCTGTTGGTCAAGCTAGACTGCAGAAGCCTGGACTTTTCCTGCCATGTGTTCCCTTTGGGCAGAGTTTGGCTAATGGCATTGTGCTTACTTACCAGTGACTACAGGAAAGTGAGATCTAGCTCATTATGCCTTGCCTCCTTGCCGTTCATGCTTGGTACTCTAATTACCCCTATCAATATTAACGTTTTCATCATATTTTTTTAAGTTGTGGTTGGATCTCTTCAATTGCATATCCAGCTTCTACTAATATCCCCATGTCCCACCTTTTTTTTTTAAAGTTTATATAGGCTTCCTTTATTCACTTTATTCCCCTCAACATCTTGTACATTATCATATCCTCTGTTTCTGCTCTCCTCTTTGGTTTTGAGGCTGAGTTCTCTCAACCTTTCCTTATTGCTGTGACCTTTTAATTCTCACTGTAACTTGTTTCAGGTAACTGGACATTTTCAATTAGTTTTGGCTTACAATATTTCTAAATTTTGTGTTTATATGCTTGTATGTACAAGCGTATCTGCGTAAGAAGTTATTTTATCAAAGATCATAATTTGCAGGAACACAAAAGATCGAAATCGTGGAACAAAAGTTAAGGACAGTGGCTACTGCGAACTGTGTAGTACCAACTTTACCAATCTACGTCTTCACTTGCAGTCGGATACGCACATAGCATTTGTGAAAAACGACAAAAATTACTTGTACCTTGATGAACTTATCAACGGACACAAACCAGGCAGTCAGGTTAGTTGCTACATCTTTTTGTCATCACGATTGTTCTAGCTTGCTTATATATTTTTAAATTTCCTTTCATAATTGCCATATTCTTTCTGTTTTGCATCTCTTGGGGGCTCCTTTTGCATTTCCCTCACCCATTTATGGCCCATTATTTGTATCACTCCACCCATCTGTGCTTTTTTTGTGTACAGATATTATTCCAAATCTTGCTAATTTGAATTTAGGTTAAAATTCTTGATTCAGACTTTTCTGGGAGGGCCCCCCTCATTAGCTCCCTGCAGAACATATGCTGCTGCAGCAAATGCTAAAAATTGCACCAGGCCTGTGAGACATGCTGGCCTACCAAGAGCTATGACAAGAATCTGGCTCTCTACAAGCTTAGGGCAGCTTGGTTATCAGAAATCTACCTAAACAGCCCCTCTCCCCCCCTTTAAATCACCAAAAAAGATGAACAAGTCAAGAGCTACCTACTACTTGAAAGTAATCCTAATGTAAACACAACAAATGATTGATACCACAGGTGAAAATCCTAACCTTGATGTTTATGACCTATAGGTCACTTGTGCTGGCTAGTAGCCTACCTCACCTACCTACCTGCTGCAATTATTGTGCACTCTTCTTCTGGAACATAGGAACTTCCTTTTTTTTTTTTAATTAAGTTGTGTTGGATATTCCTGTATGTTCTTGCTCCAAACAGCAACATTTTATTTCCTTTGGTTGCAGTGTGAGCTGGATTCCTTAGCCACAACTCTGCATGTGTATTTCTGGGTCTTTTTTCTTAGTCCTGTCCTGTTAGCTTCCAGGGTCTGTGTCCCACCTTTTCCCTTATTTCAGTGGCAGGCATAACTGCAGTGCCTGCCTTGATGCTGGGCTTCCATTTGGGTTTCTGCTTCTGTTTATGGGCTATGACTCCAGTACTGGGGCTCTTCACAACCCCATTCCTTAGGAGGGGAGGGAGGAGAGGTTATAGAACTCCCAGAACCCCATCAACCAGGTATGTTGCCTGTTTTGGGTGTCTTTGTCAGTTCTTTCATTTTGTGGAGTTGACTTTCTGTGGGGTTTTGCCATTTTCTATCTTTTTGCCTGTTCTCTGTGGGGGTTGCTTTGCTACCTTCCCTTATTTCTCCCTCTTCCTTGCTTTTATGTTGGCTTGTGTATGCTCACAGGACAGATGGGACCATCATCTGCAGCACTGGCATTGGTTTCCTTCTTATTTTGCTGTCCTTACCTGTCAGTGACTACAGAGAAGTAAGATCTAGGTCTCTGTCTCACCTCTCAGCCCTTCATACCGAACATTAATTACCCCTCTCAAAATTAAGGTTTTCTTCAAATTTCTTTTGGATAACAAGGAAGCCCACCGTATTAATACTGTCCATATGACTGGGAGGGGTACAACTGTGGGGGGCCAATGTGGGGGATGAGGATATGGTGGTTGCAAGAGGGGGGGATGGAGGTAGCGTGGAGGGTGCAGGTTGGGGGGATGGAGGTAGCGTGGAGGGTGCAGGTTGGGGGGATGGAGGTAGCGGGGAGGGTGCAGGTTGGGGGGATGGAGGTAGCGGGGAGGTACCGGTGTGTGGGGGATGGTGGGTCTGGGGAGGGACTGGGGGTGACCAGCGCCTGTGTTAGTCCTAGCTGGTACACTTACGCCACAGCCAACTGCTACCCACCCTCCCAATCTTACCACCCATCCTGCTACTCATCTGCTCACCCACTGCCTCCTGACTGCCCTGCTACCCACCCACTCTGCCCACCCTGCCACCCACCTCCTTAGTCTACCATCTGCCACCCACCCCTTAGTCTATCATCAGTCATCCACCTCCTTAGTCGACCAACTGCCACCCAGTTGTTCTGTTCCACCCGCCCTGCTACTCATCCATCCACTATCACCTGACCACCCACTCGCCCTCCACGTTTTCTTTCCTTACATGATTCTAGGGCTGGTGTTTCTAAAAGATTTTTTTTCCCGTTCCTATTCCACCCTCGCCAGCCTCCCTGTCCCAATCACCTGTCATCCATCCAGTCCCTTCACCATCCATCCACCCATCCAGTCCCCTCACCATCCATCCATCCAGTCCCCTCACCATCCATCCATCCTGTTGTCCTCCCAAATACAATATTCAAGTGTGATCGTCACTAGGCGGGGGACACTGGTAAACTGAAGTGTGGTCACTTGTGCCACCAGGAACCATGCGCTTGGTCAACCCTTACTTGTATGAACAAAATTGCAAGTCGAGGCAAAGGTCGTAAGTTGAATCAAATTTTCCTACGAAATTTGGGTCGTAACTCATAAAAAGTGATAAGTAGGGGCAGTCGTAAGTCGAAGTTCCACTGTGTATGTATGTACAGTATATACATGCATACGTATGATATATATTTATATATATATAATTTTATAAAAAATGCGAACAAGCCTGAATGGTCCCCAGACATATATACAACCGAAAACTCACACCCCCAGAAGTGACTCGAACCCATACTGCCAGGAGCATTCTGCAACTGGTGTACAGGGCACCTTAACCACTCGACTATCACGACCTGACAAAAGATGATGGTAGCCGAGGTCATTTCCCCATCACCCCGCCGGCTCTCTGATGGTAATCTTGGGCATAGTATTTTATCAAATCACCCAAATTTATCTTTGGGGCACACGTGACGAACGCAAATGCGAACAAGCCTGAATGGTCCCCAGGCATATATGCAACCGAGATTTCAACCGAAAGGTGATTTGATAAAATACTATGCCCAAGATTACCATCAGAGCGCCGACAGGGTAATGGGGAAATAGCCTCGGCTACCATCATCTTTTGTCCGGTCGTGATGGTCGAGTGGTTAAGGTGTCCTGTACATCAGTTGCAGAGTGCTCCTGGCAGTATGGGTTCGAGTCACTTTTGGGGTGTGAGTTTTCGGTTGCATATATGCCTGGGGACCATTCAGGCTTGTTCGCATTTGTGTTCCTCACGTGTGCCCCAAATATAAATATATATAAATATATATATATATAATATAATATAATATAATATATATTTATATATATTTATATATATTTATATTTATATATATATATATATATATATATATATATATATATATATATATATATATATATATATATATATATATATATATATATATATATATATATATATATTACATTATTTATTTATTTATTTATTTATTTAAAGGTTACAAAACATACAAGACAAATGCCTAAAGGTTATGGATCTCTTGAAGCTCCTCCGCTTCTGGACAGGAACCGAGGACGCAGCAAGCATTTCCCCTCTGGATCGCCACACTGAGGCGCTGAAAAAAAAAACTGGAAGCCCTTGGGACTGGTGATGTCAATGAGCTTGGAACCCAATTCCTTGAGAAATCCCAAGGCACTCTTGCCCCAGGGGCCATGCGTCTCAGACGCTATGGGAACAAAGAGGTATTGACCTTCCAGTCGCCTGTACTTGAGGGATTTTGCTGTTTCCCTGTGGTTGGCCGCCCCACCTGCTTGATCAGCTCCGAAGTGTACATAGGTGTCAGCCAGGGTGGATACACATGTGTACTTCCACACCAACTGTCTACCCTCCTTCCATGAGTATATGGTGATGCCATCAGGGCGAAGTGCGGGGAAATCCGGGTTTTGGACCCCTAGGATGTGAGGTTCTCTCTCCGCTGGGCACGAAGCTGAGACGAGGCTTCTCTTGATGATGTCATTGACCTCGTTGTGTCTTGCATGCCAGCCCTTTGTGCTTCCGCAATGCAGCCCATGCAGTCCGTATTGGTCTGCTTCTGCCCTGTTGCAAATACACTTGTATTCAGTGTGAATTGGGGCACCAAGGCGGAGGGCCACTGCTACACGAAGGGATTTATATATATTTTTTTTTTTTACACACACACACACATACATACATACATACATACATATATTCACACACCATTCATATACATATATACATACAGTTTTGTAATCGACCAAAACAGGAATCGACCAAATTGACAAAAAGGAATTTCTGAAACCAGCAACTTCTCAAACAAGAGGACACAGATTCAAGCTGAGGAAACAAAGGTGCCAAAAAATTATTAGTTTTCTTTTGCAAACAGAGAGGTAGACGGTTGGAACAAGTTAAGTGAGAAGGTGGTGAATGCCAAAACCGTCAGTAGTTCCAAAGCGTTATATGACAAAGAGTACTGGGAAAACGGGATACCACGAGCGTAGCTCTCGTCCTTTAACTACACGTAGGTATTTACACTTAGGTTACACTTGTGCATAGAATATAGAGGGTAACATCTCTGATTGTGTTTGTAGGGTCCCTTATTCTTGAAGAAGAGGATATGTAGCATCTGGGGGAGCTTTGTGGGGCACCCACATACACTCACACATTGTCTTCTCCTTCCATCTCCTATATATTATATATTTTGTCATTTTATTTTATTTAAAACTTCATTACACAAAATGGGTTACAACAACAATTAAATACAAGGTACGAGGTTATTTTTCACTGGTAGTTGAGTTCTTCCTACTCCTCAGATGGAGGCAGGAACCATGGATTCAGTGTGTATTTCCTCTTTATATCACCGCACTGATGAACTGAAAGAGGAAATTGGCAGCTCTAGGGTCTCTTGTTGTTTCAATTAGCTTAGAACCCAGCTCCTTCAAAAAACTAGTGGCACTTTTACCCCATGCACCAAGTGTCTCCAAGGAAATGGGGACAAAATTGTAGTAGTGATCCAGATCTCTGAATTTACGAGGCTTTGTTTTCTGTGAACTCTCCAGTTGTGTATAAGCTTCATTGATTTCTAGTTGATTTCCCAGAGGGATTGTGAATTGTCACTCACTCTCTGCGCCTCTATGATGGGGCCAGGTTCTGGCTCTGGTACCCGATAGGCCAAACAGAACTTTAACAACTGATGTTTCCCGCCAGGAGCCACCAGGGTGCTACCATTAAGGGCATTTCATTACATTCAACTCTG